AGGATGCCCACGATTCTCATGACACTTCTTCAGCATCAGCATAATCTTCTTCTCATTCTCATCATCAGCACCCCTCAGACTCTCAATAGTGTACACACAATGCACAGCAAACACCTCATCTCTGGCCCTCTGATCCTCAAGGAGTCCCACGGCCACATCTTTCTGAAAGCACCGCACATCACGCAAATCACCCGCATTCAGCCAGTTCTTGCTGCTTCTCTCAGCGATCTGACGACAGTTGGTACACATCCTCCACACATCGCCGTCACCGCTCTCTCTCTCTCTCTCCACTCTTCTGGTCTCAGGATCATCGCGAATCCTATGCCACGCACTCACCCTGTCCGTCACAGCATCGTTCACTGCTTCAACACAAAACATGCGACCCTCGCACAGCTGCTCGGCACAACAAGACACAACCCATCTAGTGAACATGGCCCTATGTCTCGCAGTGAAGGTCCTGCACATGTGCACTCCACCGACTGTCTTAGTCATGCGACTTGGCGTTCTCACCACAAGAAGCTTTGGCTTCAATCTGCGAATGCACTGGAGCGCCCTCTGCTGTTTTGCACTGCTGCGAATATCCGCTGCATCAAGAACAGGAAAAATACTCTGACAGCGAAAGCCTACTGCCGTGAACACTGACATAGCGCCAACTTCTTCCAGAAACAGAATGTCCACACCACTTGGCTCCACATATCCTGTCTCCGGCCTCTTTGCGCACACATCTGCAGTCTGCACAGTTTCCTTTCATGCACTTTTGGTCATAGTGTTCATGCCGTGGCACTCGGAATTCACAGCTCCTGCTGTTCCTCCAAGATCTCCAGCTCGTGGGTCATTGCCTCGATCTGCTGGCGAAGAAGGCGTCGACGCTGTTCCTCTGGATTCGGACTCGACTCCTCGGTCTGCATCACAAGCCACTCCGAGTCGGGTGCCATCGTCGATGGCGTTGATGGTCTCGTTGGCCTTGCTCGCGTCTTGGGTGTGGCCCTCATAGGAGCCTGCACTGCATAAGCATTGCTGCCCCCATAGCCGTGATCCTCCGTCCTTGTCCGTGGCACACGTACCGGCGATGTGGCATTCCTGAGTCTCTTCGTCTTCTGCTGGTCGCGAAGCTCGATGTAAAGGCGGAACATTGCCATCGTCGGATGATTTGTTGACTTCGCACCCTTGCTGTCTTGGTCCTTGATGAACTTCCGGACCCATGCCACATACTTCTTGTCGTTGATGTATGCCGCACTGAACGTCGTCGGTACCTTCATCTTTTCGTACTTCCCCACATTGAAGATCTTTGCGCCTGTTAGCCCGCTGACGAGCCCTTCTGGCTTCTTCGCTGTGATCTGAGCTGGCATCGAGCATCGATGCTCCCAGCACTGCCTCCGTCTGCCCCTGAAGCTCCGAGCTGAGGTCCTGCAACAGACGGTCCACAATCGGCGTCCTCACGACCTCCTCGCTGACCATCGGGGTGTCGCCGCTGACTGCTAAGTAGCTCATGATCTTCGCTAGCTAGGGCCTGCGATGCTACGGGCTTGTCGGCTTGAACAGCTGGACTCTCCGCGTCATTCCGGTTCTGCGTCTTGTCATGCTCATTCGATCTCTTGCGGTTCTCGACAAGCTTGCCCTTCTTGAAGCCCTCAAACAACGGAATTGCATAGTGCCCCCGATCAGTCTCTTTAAGTCGAATCGTAACCCCATAACGACCCAACACTAACTGATCATCCACCATATCTAACTTAGCTTTCAAACCTCTAAGCAACTCCTTTGACAGAAGCAGTGGCGTCTCAGCACCAGACCCCGGTAACACAGCTGCCCGGATTGCTAGAAGCTTGCCTCCAAGACTTATCGGAATCAAGGCACTCTTGTGACTCTTCAGAACACCCGCATTGCCAAAACGAAACTCATGCTCTTCATCAACCAACTTCACAGCAAGCCCTGATTCTGATAACACCCGAGACATCCTGCCTAACACAGACTCCCCAACTAGAGTCCTTCTGCAAGCAGTGTCTGGAACCCCGTGGCACGACAGATCAGCCATATATGCCTCGCTGGATTGGGCGTCTGATCCTTGCGCCTCTGAAAAAAACGTAAGTAGACTCTGCTCAAAGTCCCCTCTCATCTCACCGTCATCATTCATGCTCTCGCCCGTGGGAGCGATGACCACGTCGACTTGATCACCTCGTTCGGCCAGAAACACCTCCAACTCACCGATCTTGTCCTCGTCGATGAAGTGCTCCTGTCCAAGGTCCTTCCACCCGTCGGTAGGACCCTCAGCAATCATGGCGTCCTTGGTCGTTGGGCCACTGTTCTTCTTCTTCGGACACTCCTTCTTCCAATGGCCACGTTCATGACAAAGGTGACACTTTGTTCGCTGCTTGAGCTGTTCGATGCGTCCCTTCACCGTTCCCGTCAATGTCCACTCCGGCCTTTGACTGGCCGGTCGATATCCTCGACCCATCTTGCGTTGTTGGACTTGACGTCGCACTTCCTTGTATACGTCTCAAAGACGTCCAGCGCGTCTTCATCATCATACTCCGGATTGCTCTGGACTTGGTCTGCCACCGCCTGGTACACTTCGTCCACCTCATCGGCCGTCTCGTCCTGATAGCCCTCCTGGTAGCCCTCCTCATTGACCGAGGCCTCGAAGACTTCCTTGACACGGCCCGACGTGCCTTTTTAGCCACGCCCTGTGGGAAGATGTTGGTCACCGCCTTGCTGACCTCGGCATACTTCAGCGACCCCTTTGTGTGGGTCAAGATCATCGCTTAGCACTTGCCTCCATGTTCAGCTTTCTCAGTAAAATCCAACCTCTCACTTCTTCCGGCAGCTCCACACTATGCTCTTGCAACCGCCTGTAAGCAGTTTCCAGTCGTACTACCAAGTTCCTGCAGGGCGTCCTTTTCCAGCTCCTTGTACTTGTCATCCAGCGCCGCAAAGACTAAGGTGTATCCATCTTCCTTCGTCAACTTTTCCATGCTAATGGTCTCGACCACCTCCTCTGCTTCGCCGCCCAAGTACTCCATGAGACGTGCTCCCCACTTCTCCTTGGGATACGTCGTAGGAAGAGCCATGAGCATAATTTCCGCTTTCCTCCTCCACTTCCGGTATGTTGCCGGCATGGAACCATCATACCGCTCAAGCCTTGACCCTTCATCCTTGGACGTGCTCGCCATGTTGCCAGGAACTCAAACTCAGAGACCGTGCGCACCTAGGCCGCCCTCAGTAGAGGTGGCCACTCAGTGCTCCGCTACCACCTGAAGACTCGTGGCCCTCAGGTGATCTCAGTCGCACATGTTTTCCATTCTCGGCACTCGGCATGCTACATCCGTAGCTAAAGGGGACCTTCGAGACAATTGGCATCGGTTGTTCGACACACCTGTCTTCTTCGCACTGGACATGTGATTTCTTCAAAAGTCACTGCAGGGACATGCTTTCATTCTTCATTTGCTACATATTCTGAGCCCCTACTTCTCGACTATGCGTATTAAATTTTGCTGTTTGGAACTGTTTGCAAAAAAACTCGAAATTGGGTGCAGGAAAGCTTCTTCGGGGATGATCACGACACTGTTTTGCGGACACCCTGAACAATATTTCCACACTCAAGTGCGCACACACCACACACAGCACTTCAAAAACAGACCCTCCTACGCAGAGGTTGGGCGGTAGGGGTGTTGGCAAGCCCCTCCCACGTACAGCTGGCATCTTTGTTTTTGATGCTTAGAAGATGTTGCGCTTCAGGTTTGAGAAATGTTAAACCCTTCTTGGCAGCACCTGGGTTTTGCACGGTATTTATAGCGTTTTCGTACTATCCGACCACCTGGGGTTTATCAGTTTCTTCCCCGTCGAGCTTGCAACTCCAGCTGCTGTCGCAGTTTTGGGGCCTGAGCCCCTGCAACTTCACCGGCTGTGACAGTTAAGGAAACTGAGCCTCTGCAACTTCTGCAGCTGTCACAGATAAGGAGCCTGAGCCCGTGCATCTTCTGCAACTATCGCAGTTAAGGCGCCTAGCAGCTACCGCTGCCCAGCCCGGATGGAACAAGTGTAGTTGGGAGGGGGGGGTGGCTACTGCTACTACTACTACTACTACTACTACTACTACAACGACTACTACTACTGCTCTACTACTACTACGACTCCTACTGATACTACTACTACTACTACTACTATTACTACTGCTACTACTACGTACTACTACTACTACTTCTACTTCTACTTCTACTTCCTACTACTGCTACTACTACTACTGCTACTACTCCTGCTACTGCTACTACTACTGCTGCTACTACTATCACTACTATCATTACTACTACTACTACTACTACTACTACTACTACTACTACTACTACTACTACTACTGCTACTACTCCGACACCTCCTGCTACTACTCCTCCTGCTACTACTACTACTACTACTACTTCTTCCATTTCTACTTCTACTTCTACTTCTACTTCTACTACTACAACTACTACTACTGCTACCACTACTCCTCTCACTATCACTATCACCATCGCTATCACTATCACTATCGCTATCACTATCACTATCGCTACTACTACTACTACTACTAACTACTACTTCTGACTACTACTTCTACTACTTCTACTTCTACTATTACTACTACTACTACTACTACTACCACCACTACCACTACCACTGCCACTGCTACTGCTACTGCTACTGCTACTGCTACTGCTACTGCTACTGCTACTGCTACTGCTACTGCTCCTGCCTGCTGCTATTGCCATTGCTACTGCTACTGCTACTACTACTGACTCCGATTCTGACTCCGACTGCCACTCCTACTGCTACTCCTAAAAGTACTGCTCCTGCTGCCACTGCTGCTGCTGCTGCTGCTGCTCCTACCGCTCCTCATGCTCCTCCTGCGGCTGCTGCTGCTCCTGCTCCTGCCTGCTGCTATTGCCATTGCTATTGCTACTGCTACTGCTCCGTGCTGCAAGCCCCCGACTCTCCCTACCACGCTCTCCAGCAAGTGTCTCATGTCCCGCCTAAGCCAACAATCCAGGAGGGTCCAAGATTGTTTTTGTCCACATGCATTGCAGCTTGGTAGTCCTCAGGCCCAGCTGCAGTTCTGTACCCAGCAGGCCTATTGCCCACCTGTAAGACCGCTCGCTAGACACAGGGAAGGGGCTGTCCTTGTTGACTTGAATCGATGTGAAGTGGAAGTCTGGAATCTCCTCGTTGCACACGTACTTTGGACATACTCGAACCGCAAAAGAGGTTCTTGTAGCGCTGGTCGAGACTCACAGCACGGCGGAGCGACTTCTAAATGACTCTCAATTCTAAATTAGACGATGGGAAGTGTCTATCGACGACCTCAAACTTTAAACAAGCATTGACAAGCAACGAAGCAAACTTGGGCAGAAGCAGAGCCTTCCGGGCAAAGCTGCAAAGTAGCCTGGCAAGGCCTGGCCTTCCAGGTCAGCACTCGCGGAACACAACTCAAAGCAGAGGTAGATCCACAACAGCAGGTCTCTTGTGGCATTGTCGCAGTAACAACAACAAAGAGGTCCAAATGGAGCACGCTTTCCCCTCAAGACTGCGGCGGGCCTGTGACGTGTCGCCGCTGACACTTGAGCCCCCTGGCTCATGGAGCACAAGCTGTCTAACTGTGCGGCTCTGGCTCCCACCGTTCTCACTGCATGCCGAAACCTCCGGCCTTCGTGTAGTGGCTGGTCACACCGAGGCACATCCCCAGCATCTTTGTGTCATCGCCTTCCTCGCGCACCTCAGTACTCCAGCCCTCCAGTCTTTCGATTGGGAAGCGTTTTTGACACAACCGGGCACCCTAATCTCGCGGTTCTAGTTTCGGATCGGCCGCTGTGAGTCTCGGATCAGGAAGGAGCAGTTTCGGGGACCAGTTTGGGCACATTGCGGGTCAGTTTCGGGGCGCTGGTCTGTCAGCTTGGGAGGGCGGGGCGGGCCCTGATCCGAAACTACCCTGGCGATTGATTGCACCGAAACTCCGCAAGACCTCGAAAACCCTGAAACTTACACCTTCCGGTTCAAAAGAAGCACTGAGAGTGCCAGCCGTTACATGCATGCACTGGCAACCCTACTGAAACTCCTCCCTAACGGAGCTTGTCGTTCAACTCGACAGCTGTTTCAGAACACTGGGTATCCAGCATTCTTGCGGTGGCTTTCGGGGAACACCTTAAGGAAGCGCCGTAATTTTGAAACGAGAAAGACTCGTCGACTCGTCACATGCACGGACCACTTGCCTGAATCGCCACCAACTTGCAGCCAGCTTTCGCTGGACCACTCTAGTACTTGGGGTGCAGCGAAGCACAGGAGCAACCTCTCTTTTCAACAAAGTGCAATGCAGCGCGCCTCCTTCTCCAGGGCCTCAAAGACGGCATTAAAACCTTTGCATGACGAGGTCAGCGGGGATCACAGGAAAAGCAATCCGATTTCCTCAACATGGCTGCACCTCTCCGCCCGTCCGGGCCATGATGAGCCAGCTGCAAAAACCTTCCTTACGGCCGATGTTTCCTGCTCGAAATTTCTGTCCGACACAGGAGGCGACCTCAAGCCCACGGGACACCAAAATCGGGATCCAGTTAAGATTTGCCTGCAACTTTCTCTGATCACTGAAGGTATGATCACCTGGCTCTCTGTTCTCAGCATCTGGCCATCATCCTCGGGCCGAGCGAGGTCCGCCAGACAAATGCCTCGATTCATAGGTACCTCCCCTGTTTCTGCGAAGACTCTACCGAATCAAATCTGGCAGCTTGCACAACAGAACCAGAATCAGTAATAGCATCGTGCATGAAAAGCAGCACCACTGGAGCAGTCCTAAATGCATCTTACGAGCCGTAACTCACCTACCGCGGTCAAGCAGCACTCGTCCTCTTTATCCATGCCGTGCAGGATCCTGCAGCAATCTTCATGGAGCTTCTTTGTAGCTGCGTGCAAGAAAGCTTGGCATCGAGACTAAAGCAACAGTCTGGGTCTATCTGTGCCAGTCTTCTCAAGTCTTGCCTGATTGGGAACAGAGGTCAGCAAGAAGCGCGTGGCCACATGCGCCACAGCCCCAGGCACAATCGACTTGTAACTGGTAGGTTTATGATAGCTGCTCCATCTGCCCGATGCAGGAATCTTGTGGACAGACTCACTAGAGGTACAAACAGAATCGTAATTTTCAATGAACAGACTGCTTATGAAGTCCAACGAAAGCAGTAAGAAGTCCATGCGTGAAGCTTGACACCCTGACTTGAGCCTGCGCCGTTCGAGCTGTATCTGATTATCTAGGAACTTAGGGAAAGAGCCAAGCCCCAGCTGACCCGGCATCTCTGCTCAGAAGCACTTTCAAGCGGCCGATGCCAGAACTTCCTAGCTCAGCCAGACTTGTTCCTGTCCATGCCCTTGTTCGCCAAACATGTCAGGGAAGAAAGCTCATAAATGGAGTTGGCCAAAGCTTGCACCTGGTCGCCCTGACCCTGCGCGGTTCACCGTGCGAAAATGTGGCGGGAGGACCCCGCACCAGAGCAGCGTGCCTGGCGGCGTTTTCATCTTCGTCGGTCGAGATTCGCAACAGCTCCACTCTCTGCTGCAGGCAATTCGGAACTGTGGCCACATGGGCAGCTAAGCAAAAATCTGCATCTTCCTCTCGCAGGAAAGCAAGCCAAGGCCGGCCGCAAGAAATCAAAGATGGTCGGCAGAAACTCCAGAAATTCCTACAAGGAGCCGTCGTGGATCCAGCAGTCAGTCATGAAAGGGTGACTTCTAGACTCGAACTATGTGCGAGCTGTCTCCGCTTGGACTTGCTGCCTCAAGATTGTCAGAGCATCGTTTCATGTAGTGGGCCCTTTCCGCACAATGGTGGCCCTGACAGTGGCCACCACATCAACCAAGCCCAATAGCTTGTGCATGTCGCACCTGTCCTCATCCCTGAAACCTCTGAATTGCTGACTGAAATTTCGAGGCTTGAAAAGTTCTCAGGTTGTGACAAGCGCGCTAAGTTATCGGTCGACGAAGCTTGTGACCTGTGACGTGAGCATGTTACTCTGTTACTTCAAAAATGTCCTGCGCTGCGCGGCAGGACGATGTCCACGGAGGACGAATGGAGAAAGGTGCTTCCTGCCCGTGGCACGGCGACGCAGCGAGAAACAGTCTCCCAAGTGAGCTGCGGAACTGGCGATTGTGGCGAGCTTTTCTCCGGCAGCAGTCAGGCATCACCCATAACCGCCATACCTATCCACAGTTACTGGAAGTGCATCTTCTTCCTCCCCTTCATCGCCTGCATGTTGGTTTCAAGATCAGAAATCTAAAGACTGGCCGTGACTAAACGGTGGAGAGAGCATGCAGCTTCAAAGCTTCAACCTAGATTGCCCGCCAGAGCCAAGACCGGGGTCAAGCGCTTTGTTTGGCGTTGATGACTGCGACTTGCATGCATGCCCTCAAACAAAACTGACCTGGCCGCTCAAAGCATACACAAAGCCATGTTGCCGAGTTGCCAGACTCGGAGCAGTAGCTGGACCTCGGATATGCAAAGAGCGAATGAAGGGGCTGCGAATGCGAACCATGCATCGCAACTTTACAGGAAAGGATGAGGCACTCCTCATCCTCTCTTGGGGCGAACTTCTGCACGTTGGCCTGAGCTTGCTGTCTCAAGATGTAGCGAAGCTCCCAGCAACGAGCTTGGCAAAGGCTGCGGAGGACTTTGCCCTACACGCACTACAAAAAAACACTACCACCTCTTGGTATGGGTAGAAGTGGCTAGAATCTGCTAGGATGCTAGGCGTCGCCTTCCTTGCAAAATCATGCAAAGCATGGAGTCGGCCCACCTTGCTCTCACGTCGCTCTTTTGCTTTCAGTCTTCTTTGTTGTCGCTTCATGTCCTGAAAGGAAGCGACCACTTCAGCGACGCAGGTCTAAGGCCCAGAGTTCCGACTTCCCGTGTCCAGTTTACACCGAAGCATATCACAACCGTCTCTTGAAGGATGCACCTCGTTTTCTTGGCGCACGCACTCCAGATCTCCAGAGTTTGTTCTCCTTCTAGCATTCCAATGACGGGATTGCCCACGCCTGTCTGCAAGTTTCACTCCATGTCTTCCGGCCCCACCACAGCGGATCGTACCCGGTGAGTGTCAAGTGTGCTCATGCCTGTTACTGGTACACAGGCTTTTCTGACCTCGGCAGATGAGAGATGTGAGGCACCTGCATGTTCTGTGTGCCCAGAGGGCACCTCTGAGAACTTCCCAAGAATTGTCTCTCCGAGTCTCGTTTCAGAAAGTCAAGTGCATAAACTCGCAGCTTCCATCCTGCGCTCTTCGGCCGTGGCGAACCGTGTACAAGAACAGTCTCTCGTCAAATGAAAACCCCTTGGCCTCGAGCTTTCGTGACATTGATCTCATTGAAGCTTCGACTCCATGCAACTGCTGAACTCTTGCTGCTTGGCCGGTTCGCCGTCACATGAGCTCTCAACTGGAGCAGTGACGGTGCTATGACAGTGCTTCGAGACCTTGGGAGAAAAGAGATGCGATCCCGGGTGACTTCGAGGGTTCGAGACTGGCAAGAACAAAAGAAGAAAACTCTGGACACACTTGTGTGCCGGTCCTTCCATTCGTCTCTCTTCACGTCCGGAAGGGCTGCGAGAGCCTCCTTGGCCCACTCCCGTGTTCAGAGTTGTACAGATCCAATGCGCTGAATCTAGCCACAGGTCCAGCTATGAATGCGCTTGCAGATTCTACGGACCTGAAAGGCACTGGAAAATATGGTGGCCCAGGCTACTTGGTCCCTGTCATATCTTCCAAAATCTCACACGGCACGCACCTGTGCGCACCTACTCTGGGATTAGCTGCTCTCTGCTTCCCTTTCCCTTCCCAGGCCTCGGCAGCAGACTGCTCCGCGAGCTTGCGCGTCGGCTGCCAGCGGCCGGTGTGCATAGAGCCGTCGAGGCACCGCAACGTAACTGTGGACTGGTACTGCCAGCCGTTGCCGGTGGGCGACTCTGCGAAGGTTTTTGTGTCATAGGGCAAATCCTCGCGAGTGATCTCTCTGTCAACTCGAGCCTTCACTTCCTTGCGCCAGGGCTGGCTAGGGATATGCCAAGATACTTGGACAAGTAAGGCCTGGCGTTTCCACAAGCCCAATATGTTGAAACAGTGCGTGGGAAAAACATCCATCTCCGAACATGCGCGGGCCTTCCTATATGCAAACATTGAACGACACATCTTCTACCTATGTAGAAGCGTACATGAATATGACCAGGAATTGCTGAAACGAAGGTCCCCCACAGCTGCTTCATTTTGCACAACCACAGTGTTTTGCCGCCCGGACCTGCCTCGTGCAAGTTGCTTTTGTGCTTGAAGTGTTGTTGCTGTTGTGCCCGCTCAGGCTGGCGAGGGTCGAACTCAGGAAATTCGGAACAAATGGCAGCATACGCAGCTGAATGTTCGGCCATTTTCTTGGTGTGACACAGTTCCCCATGGTACGGATATCGAAAAATGTCGGCCTCCACCACGGATCGAAACTCCTTCGAAGTTGGTGTAGTTGGCGTGGCCACTTCCTGGGTACTGAATGTAATGTCACCTTTTTGGATAGGTCTTTGCGTAGCCTTCGCGTACAGCTCCTGCAGTTTCCCTATCCAGTTGACCTGCCGGCAATCTCTGCCTGGGGCCTTCACCGGATCTGCAGGAGGCTGCGGATGTTGAGAAACAGTAGTTCTTCTCGCAGCTTTCTCAAGCCGATGGCTGACAAGTCGCTCGCGCAAGTACAGTATCCTGCGCCACTGCGTCTGCAGTTGATCTGACGGAACGTCCAGGTCGAAAATCTCCCGATTGAGCTCCTCAACTGCGCCTCGTAGCTGCGTTTGGGAGGGACGGAGGTTTCGCGAATGTGAACGAGAGCGCTCTCGTTCAAACTCCTCGCGCAAATGCCTTACGCGGCTCTCGCCCGGCGGGGAAAAAGGCCGAGCACGTCCTCGGCCCTTCCCAGGCGGCGGCATCGGCTCATTGTGTCGATACCGGGGGCGAGCCATTGTAGTCTGATTATGATTCCTATTCGGCTGCGCAAGTCATCAGCAAGGTCATCAAGTCTTCCGGCTGCGCTGCTGGGCTAACTCACACTCAATGGAGTATACTTCATAGGTGCTCTCTCACACTGGTCTCCCTCCATAAGCGCAGCCTGAAGTGGCAGATCAATTGCTCCAACAGAGCGGAAGTCGAGGACATGGGTCCACCTCAACAAAGAGCTGGCCACACTCGCTTGCGAAGCACAATACACTCATGAATGTAGTGGTTTCACTAGAAGGGCTAGCAGGCTGGGAAACCCTCTTCAGCGTCAGCTATCACGACCGTTATCGGCATTGTCTTTGTGGTTCTTATCGCCGCGATTGTCAATGTTCGTGCGGCAGCAACTAACTAATCCTGCTATGCATGGCTCGTGTATGCATATCAGTTGCTACTGTTACGCTTTCGTGTGCTTGTGGCTTGAAGTCTTTGATGTTATGTCAATTGCTTCCCAGCACTCCTGCTTCCACCTCTTTTCAAGGCTCTGGCGCGTGTTGGCGGAGTCGACAGCGAAGGGCACCTGGCCGTAGCTAAAGATGGTTGAAAATAATCTCAAACTAGTTTTCTCGAGGTGTTGCCACACTAGGTCACTCGGTATTCATGTCAGCTGTCGCACAGGTTCCGTTGCGGCTTGGGTATCTGAAATTCAGCCGGTCGTGCAGCCTACGCTGCTCCTTACCGCATCGGAAGGCATTCTTTCTGCACCGCTGCTTCTTGCTGCTCAAATGTGCGAAGAATCGGCCGACGAATGAATCGAACTCCGGCATGTTCAAATCCGAAGTGCTATGGTAAAGGAGCGAATTTGCTGAGACCGCTGTAACACCAGATCTGTGAATCTTCCTGTCAGGTATTCCAACCAGTGCACGTATCTCCATGCCCAGACCGGAGACTTCGAGTTGCTCCACAGGAGAAGGGGCAAAGGAGCAGCTGCTTCAAGTCTGGCGCAGACAAATCTACGGAGTGCGTGGACACACGAAGTCAAGCTTGAAACATGTTCGGGCGGGGCAGGGCTTGGCGCAAAGAACGATGCAGTCCCAGGGCCAGTCTGTAAGATTGCTCAGGCCATCTGCAGCTGCTCAAAGTGAAAAGACACTGGCAGCAGCGTGCGAGTCCTGCACCATGGAAGTGTACGACCACCACATGATGCAAAGAAGACAATCCATGGGTAGTTTCAGCTGGAAGCAGTTGCTGGACACCTTGCAGGACACGTACCGCTAATTGTTAGACTTGTTAAGCATCTACCACGACACCTTACAGCAATTTCAACTCGAGCTGGAGTTCTAGAATTGTTTCACTGTTCGCACAGTACGCGACAAAATTGCGCAGGTTGTAGCGGAACTTTGCAGGAAAGTATGATTCATTGTCTGCTTTGTACCCAGCAACAGTTTGAAGAAGGACTTCGCAGCCTCCTCAGCTGCGGAAGCCGAAGGGACATGTGACATGAGAGAGAAAGCCAAGTGTCATTATGAGTGCTTGAACCAACCCCAGTAGACCGAATATCTGATACGAAAACTAAGACTCGAGACGGCTTATGGTCGCAGTCGCAGGACCCACAAATCCCGAGGCTCTGTTCATAGGTCGAATTCGTGCTCCAAGCCGCTGCATAACATCACATCTCGTAGCACAAGCGCAGGGCTTTATCAAGCTTCGACTGAAAAGCTATGCGCAATGATACAAGCTCCGAGCTGGCCCTGCGCAGTCCTACAATGCTACGACTTTGGCAAAGGTACCTGCCATCAGTATGAGTACAATCCTCTAAGACTCTAAACCCCGTCTCAACTCCTCCAAATCAAACGAGCAAGAAGGATGGCAGGCGTCAGAAGGCCTAGAACGAGGAGGATCCGTGCATAATCACGCCAACGTGCAGTTCAAAGGACCACTCACAGGCTTTGCTGGCAGAGGGCTCCAGTCGTTCTACTCTTCAAGTTGTTGGTACCAATATTCTGACCGGTGCACGTAGGAACCCTAGATGATAGCACCTAGCAGTGATTCTGTCTGATCTGGCGAAAGCAATACTACGTGAAAAGCAGATCCCCTCGAGCCTTAGCTCAACGTTTCTGCCAGCTCTCCCAGAAAACGGGCCCGAGTAGGTCAATTAGCTCGAAAAACCACCCCGGGTGCCCCTTTCGCGCGGGCATGTGCGAGCATGCGGCGCTCGGCAGTGGTTCTGAGCGAAAGTGTCTTCGTAGAGTCTTCGAGTTCGCAAAGGGGAGCCCCCCTGATCAAAGCCAGTTGTTTGATCGGCTCTCAGCCCGTGACCTGATGCGGTCCAAACAAAGAAGCCGAGACCAGGCTTTGTAGCTTGCACAATCTTCAGAATTCTCTTCTACTGAGTGAAAGCCCGGCGGCCACTTGTCATGGCTTTGAGTCAGTGAGCTCGATAAGTTGCGCAAATCGGCATATGGTGTAGCCATGACTGGAAACTGAAGCTCCATAACATGGCATGCCTGCAATCATGGAAGGCGGCTCTGAAACAAGGCATCAAGCATGGCTAGGCTGGCCTCATTCTCACCAGGGTGCATGCCATATTGGGGTGCTTTTCAGCAGGGCTGCACATGGTGTCATACCGTCACCGGACCGGACCGGTGACCGTCCTCGCTTGGGAAGCGCTGGTCGCGCGCTTCCGCAGAAAAGTAGACGCGGGATGTCCCTGCACTTTCGGCCTGGAGAGCATTTAAAAGTCACCACTTTGGTGCCCAGCCTCCAGGGTGCACAAGGCAAATGCCGGGTTTCTATACTGCACTTCCAAAAGCGCACTTGGATGAAAGCTTGCTGAGGCTTGCTGACTCTCTGCGCAGCCGGACAACATCATCCGTAAGTTCCTCTGCTGTGTTCTCTTACGCCTTGCCAAGGGTTCCGTGCTGCGAAAGTAAACTGAGATAAAATTTCACCCTTAATCTGCCTTAGGCAATGATACAGTGATGCAGGCATAAACTTCAAGCCTAACATGCTCAAGATTATTCACACGAGGTGTGCAATGTTGAACTCTGGCTATGCTGCGAGGAGGTAACCACTTGCAAGCAGCTCGTATGGGTTGGACTCTTGCCACTCAAACGCTCGATGCGTCTCTTGTGGACGAGTGAAAGGCATTCTTTGCAGGGTCAGGTGGCCAAGGCCTGACTTTCTGACGGTGTCCCTCAACGATATGCCGACAACAGCGTGTGACATAACTAACATGTTGGAGCCTATCTGTGTTGAGTCACAGCGTCCCTGAGCTCCGCTGAAGCTGAACTCAGACCCACACTCTGAGTCGAAAACTGGGTGGGTTCTGTTACCTCTTAGACCTCAAACTTCTTCGCAAGTCGACGGGCCTCAAGGAGTGAAAGAAGAGCGGCATGTCAGCCCGATCCAAGCACACTGGCTTCCCGACCCTGTTTGCACAAAATAAAGCCAAAGACAGCTCTCACCGAGCTCCGGAAAGCGGAAGTCATGGGTTGGACGTTCAACCAAAAGCTCCTAGTCAAACCCCCAGCTGATATGGCAGCAAAGATAACGGCTGAGAAACTGCTGGATGCGTGCAGAAAGACATTTTGTAAGGTCAGCTACACCTTGTACAGAAGCCGTCTTGACTATATCGGAAGGGGGAGGAGGAGAGAAAGCCGAAACCTGGAGTCACAGCGGTGATGATATCCAGCAAAACTGAAGCAAACTGCAGCAACGAATCTTGAAGGAGCCGTGCTACTATTGTTGCTGCTATACTTCGTGCGGATGTGGTCCCCGTCTTAACAGCACTTGCTGATGTCCGCTGTATTGCTGTGCTACTTCTGACCAAGACCTGCTCCTGACTGTGCACCTGGAAACTTAGCACATCATCCATTCGTACCTGATGAGCATCGAACTGCAACCCACAGCGCTCAACCAGATTCCTGATTTGTCGACCCACGATTTCCTCTTTCCCTTCGGATGATATTTATTGCCACATGAGCACTGACGAGCACGGTGCCACAGGGTGACTACCTGAAAGGATTTCACCAAATAGCTGTATCTATGGTTCAGTCCTTGTGGGGTCTATCACTAGAGATGCATATCCTTGCCTACTTTCGGCTTCGCATAACTGTCGCGGATGTTTGGCACGCTCGAGTGCTTGAAGTCAGTTCCCTATGTTCATGCACCCTTCGCATAGTCCTCTACTGGGGTCTTTCATGCAACTCCCCCAGTGTCCGTTGAAGGCGAATTCTAGTGTGCGTTGAAAGCGAAGTCTGTTGCATTTTGGATGTCTCAGTTCTCGCAGAAATCCCAATTGTGAAGCTGTGCATAGTTCCCCCATATGTTACATGTGAGCCTTTGTATTGAATATGTATGTAGGCTATGTGCCCTCCGTCCCTTCCATGGATGGCTCGTGCGACGATGGCTAAATATGCACTCCAGTGCCATGGAATGAACTCTATACATGGGGAAACACGAAGCAGCATGTCGAACGGATGTAAACCGCCAGTTTCCATCCTGTATAACAGTCCTTTCTGATTACATCATTCAGCCATTCTGCGGGGTGCTCGGAAGAACGTCGCGCTTGTGTTGGATGTGGACTTTGAGCCCCTCGTCGAATGCGATGCCTTCGTATTTCTCCGTTCTGTGGGATGTGGGACACAACTCCTCACCAGTTCTGGACGTGAGCCCACGTCAATCGGAGCTCCCGACAGGATGCTTCGCATCGCTTCCTTCTCGTCGGATGACGCATGCGGGCGAAGCACGCACCTCATTGTGTCAGATGTGAACCTCTTCTGGATCATTCTGGCCTTTTGGATGCTTCGGCAAAATGTCATGCCTCACCTCTCTTCAGCCTGATGCTCGGCGTGTTGCTGCGCATGAACCCCGGCCTGGCACCTCTCGCGATGTATGGTTCGTATGCAACTCCCTTTTGTCTCAGACTAGAGCTTTGCATGAATCACGCCTCCGTCTGTTGCATGTGCCAAGTCCTCTTGCGATGAATATTTCCCCCAAGCGATTTCAGTTGCTTCGCATACCTCCCCGTTTTTGTGCTGGGGTGCGTCCGCACTATGCCATTCGGATATTTCACGCGGTTTCTCGTGCGTCGCTGATATAGTTCTGTGCAAATGTACGTAATACGTAGACTTTTCTGGCCTCTGGCTGAACCATGTCAAAGCTGCAAGGCTGAATCGCCAGCAGCTTCGCCAAGAATGCCACCTGCTTGAACGGTTACCACCATCAGGCACCGTGCTTGCCGGGAAGACCATCAGGTCTCCAGCGTATGTACACCAACTCAGACTGTCTCCTGCCTCAGCCAACATAAACTTGAAGTGATGATAGGTTCCCTCCAGCCGCAGCCCGTCAGGCATCACTGCCAAGGTGACTAAATGTGCAGATGTTATAATTCCACTAAGGCCAATGGCTGCCGATGTGGCTTTCCGGCAGTGAGCACGTTGGCAAGCTTCACCTTGCTCCACACTGACCGTCAGTACAGAAAAGCCGGAGACAAAAGCAAACCAAAACACATGAAAGGCTACAATGAATAAGCCTCTTTGCTAGTCCCAAAAAGACCGAGCAAGGTAACCTTTTGGG